CTGATTGGACGTCTTTTTTCCGGGTTCGTAAGCATAGATCCAAGACTCATCGCTAGTATTAATATGTATCATAACATCCTGGTAGTCAGAAAGCATTTTTTCACAGACGTTAATAACACACTGTTTTTTTAGTAATTTTGGAACTAATTGTGGTTTCACTTTTCTCAGGCCCACATGATCTTTCAAAATGGTATTGACTGATCCTTCTAATATTCCCACGATCCCAATAAGTTCTCAGACTGTTAATTGTCGATTATTAAGCAATAATTTCTTTATTTTATTAACAAGTTGATCATCTGTTGATGTTGATGCCCCTCCTAGACGTGGTTCGTCGTCAACGCGTTCTCGACTTCTTCGAACCAAACAAAAACACTTGCTCGCGTCAAAAAATTATCACCGAAGGTATTTTCCAACATTCTGAACGTTTCTGCCCCAGAAATTCGATTCTACATAAAAAATTCAATGGAACTGCTTTCTTGAATAATTTAACTCATTGCAATAATCACCGAATGCACTTTATGTACTTCAGACGGACAAACATATACTAAATACTAATGATTATTTTGATGTTTGACATTTGTCACAGATATCACTATCTGTATGAGTTTTTTTTTTTTTTGTTTTCATCATGAAGAATCGGTACAATACGCATACATACGCATACACATATCTTTTATTTTGAAAATTTCTTCATTCGAGTTCCAAAAGCTCTGTTATACATATATTTTTTTCAGAAAAAGTTTTGCGATTTTTTGCTCTAAAAATTAGTTTTCAAGTCCAATATTAGGAAATGTTTTTTTGCATTCGTATTAATTTGAGTTCTGGTTAAACTATAACCAAAGACAGTAAAAGTCAAATTTGTTGTTATTTACACAAAAATATATTCAGACTTCAAACCAACTCCACCAAAAAACCAACATTCCACCACTCTATTTATTATTATGCATGACATTATGCAAATAAGTGCAAAAAACTTTCGAAGTTTATTCAAGGACGATGAACTTGTGACAAGGCACTTCTACATAAGTCTATACTAACTAAATTCGATGAATTACTGTTTGATTAACAAGAATTGACGAGTAACATTTATTAGAAATCAATTCACCAAAATCAATCACAAACAATGTTATATAATATATGCCACGATAACAACAAATACTCGAAATAATAGATTTTGTGAAAGAAAAAGAATTCTATGCTCGGTATGGAAGAGTACCCAAATTTTCTACTTTGTTTTAGAAAAAACTAATGTTATGCGCCTGCTTTAATACTGAAAGTAGTAAACGTTATATTCTGCATTAACTGACTTTTAGAGGCCTACCGCAGATTCGAGGAGTAGTTTGAACCCAATTATACTGCCAATAACTTAAGTAAATTGGTGGGTCTCTAAAACTAGTTGACCAAGTAGCACCAAATGTCCTAGATAACATTTCAACCTAATTTTAACACAGTTTTTTAATAACTAACTACGAATCATAACCAATACTGATTTCCATTAAAACACATGTTGACACAAATCAGTTACTTTTTCTTTTGAATGCAGGGTGCACCAGAATAGATGGAGGTCGGAATGAAAAGAAAATAGAATCCCTTCATTCACAATGTGACATGACGGAACATATCACCCTCAAGACCTTTTCCATGCATTTGCCGGCAGCCAAGCGTAAAGAGGCAACATCCTCGATATCAATTTCTACAGACTGTTTTAATTCGTTCAAAAAAGAGTTGCAAAGTAATGGTACTTTTTGAATCTCTAATAAATTTTGTGTTGCACAAATTTGAATAAGAACTCACACATGTTTAGACTTGTACTAAATTGAGGTTTCCAAATATATCTCAGGTACTTAGATAAGCATAGGTTAGGTTGACTAAAGAGGCTGATTACTGGTACGGTCAGCAACAATCCATTTGGATTGCCAGAGACGCTTGTCCATTGTGATAAACAGGACTCCTAGGTATGAATTAAAAATACCATCGTATTTTGACAAAACGCCTGAAACCAGCCACAAATTTATTAAGGTGACTAATATCAGTTCCCGCCAATTCGGAGGCGCGTGAAATGTATGGCAACCGAGATGCTTCACGATTAGTTTGGTAAAAGCTGGACAGAGGAAAGTGTCCAGTTTTGTTTTGACCTCATTTTACTTATTGCAAATTTGACAAGTTGTGTCCAGTGTCCGGTTAGGACGACAGTTATTGCTAGCAGTTCAATGAACCTTTTCAAATTAACTCTGGTTGCTGACCAACGTTTGCAGAGTTGACTCGAAGCCCATACATCCAGCGCACCATGGAATTTCGGTATTAATATCTTATCTTGGAAACTCATCGACTTTACAATGTCCGAAGATTCTGCTTTGGCCAGACACCTCCGCTTACGCGGTTATAGCCAGTCAGCGTGCCACTCGTTCTTCCTTTTCACTGTTTGGCACCAAATGGAGATTTCAAGTGTAGCCAGGCCCTGCTCCATTCGGTCTTTCCTACGCAGTGGATATTTTCCTCTTCCATACGCCGCGAATACTCTCAGACTTGGAGTTTTTCATCCACATAAACGACATGACCTAGCCAGCGTAGCCGCTGTCTCTTGGCCAGACACCTAGACAAGTTTAATATGAATTAGTTTGATGCTACTACTTTGAGGCCATGTGCTCCTTGACTACCTTTGAGCTCACTGTCAATGAGCTTTTAATATTTTAAGTCTTTGAGATAGCGACATGCTTTGTACAATTTGGAAAGTAGTTCGAAAAATGTGGTAGTCCCTCCCAAATACAGCACTAAGACAAGGTGTATGTGTACTGAAACAACATATATATGTATCGGGATGAATTGGGATTCCTTCTTTAATAAAAAAAACAAGAAAAAACGTCGGCTGCACCGAAGCTAATATACCCGTCATAGGTGCATTTCCTTTAGTAACTATATGCTCACTTTATATGGGGGCTATATTCTATAGTAATCCATGTCAAATTTCGTGAAGATACCATGTCAAATGCGAAAGTTTTCCATACAAGCCCTTGATTCCGATTGTTCGGCTTGTATGGCAGCTATATGCTATAGTTAGCCGATTTGAACAATTTCTTCGGAGATTACATTGTTGMCTTAGGAAATAATCTGTACCAAATTTCGTGAATATACCTTGTCAAATGCAAGACAAGTTCCATACAAGAACTTTTTTCCGATCGTTCAGTTTGTATGGCAGCTATATGTGGTCCGATATCGGCAGTTCCGACAATTGAACAGCTTCTTGAAGAGAAAATGACATTTGCAATATATACAGACAGACGGATATGGCTATATCGACTCAGTTCAACATACTGATAATTTATTTATATACTTTATAGAGTCTCCCCTATGTATAATATACCCTGTTCAGGGTATAAAAAACATCATAGATCGGGTATAAAAATATAAGTATTTAATATAGTTTACACGAATTATATTATCTATGACTAATCGGGTGTTATAATAAAGCAAAATTCAGTAAATCTTATAAAAGTTCCAAAATATTACTTGTTTCATAAAATTACAAAATATTTTCGGTAAAATTGGGACACTCTTCTTTATATCTCATGTAGTAAATAACTTCATTAAAATTTTCTTTTCATCTTTGACATTGTCTAATCTCAAAAGCTTAAGTAAGTTCGTCGCTGACAAAAACCATGATCCATAATTTTAATTTATCCTTCTATCTTTCTACGCAAAGTGAACATTTTGGAAAACTATTGACTGAGCATAACTAATAACTAATAATTTATATAGCATTTAAAACATCAAAATACATACATATGTATATATTCGGTTTGAAAGGCAATGACATGAAAGTGAATTTCCCCGAAACTGCCACAAAAGTGGGGTAACAACTGAATTACTGCATAAGCTGTGATTACTCCCACGCCTACAAAGGCGAATCCTTGACAGTTGCGCAAGTGCTCATGCAGTTAGGTGGCATGCGATAGCGGTAAACTTGGAGGTGAAGTGGCGGTTAATACAACAATAAAATAACGCTTGTTGGCCTTAAATACGAAAACATTTACGAAGATTTGCAAACTTTTTTCAAACACACACACACATATACACGAATACTTGTGGATATAGGAAAGTACTGTTATGAAGGAGGTGAAAATGCAAAACTTCAGACAGGGAATCAATTTCATGTTTTCAAAGGCACGCAAGAGCAAATAGCGCAACAGCAGCAGCTATGAAATCAGCAACAATATGAGCAACAACAAATTGGAAAACTATAAATACATAATAAATAAATAAAGGGTGCTTTTTTGGAAGTGAAAAACTTTTATCTGAAGTAAAATAAAAACAAGAAAAAACTTTAACTATAATTTTATTTTTTACAACACGCCAGTTGTTCTTCCTTTTCACTTTTTGGCAGCAATTGGAGATTCCAAGTGTAGCCAGGTTCTTCTCCAGCTGGTGTCTCCGACGGAGTAGAGTTGTCCTCTTTCTCTGCTTCCCCAAGCGGGTACTGCGTCGAATACTTTCAGAGCTGTCTCTTAGTTCGCAGTCCTATATCTCGTTCAGCTCATCGTTCTATCGAACGTATTTGCCTTCTTCCAATTTGCCGGACCAATGTACATAGTATACTTCAAGCCGAAGCCTTCAGCCATTTAGGAAAGCTGCGCATCTAGCCTCTAATGCATCAACAAACAACTCCAGAGTTGTCTACGTGGACTGCCAAGCAGCAATCAAGATTTTAACATCGTCTCGCATGTCGGCCAGAATTGACATGGGAAGCAGGGCAACCGTAGAACTGACCGATCTTACTTTTACCAAAAGCCAGATCATAAAGGCATCGAGAGCAATAAGATAATGGACGAGATTGCCAAAAGACATTGAAAACCCAATACGTTGTCTATACGACGATCTGAACGCAAGCATGGTAAGAACATAATTGCAATACTCATTGGTTACAGTCTAGTGGCGGCGCAAACCTACACAATGAGGCTGACAGGTTGAGAGATTTCTGTAGGAAATGACCAGAGTAAGGCACCAGAGAAACAATGAAGTATCTTTTGTGTACTTATCTCGCTTTGCTAAGACAACAAATTTTTGCATTTGGGTTACCCACAGTATAAGACGCTATAAGAAGAAGTTAGTGAGGCCACAGAGTCTATTGAAACTCGAACCAAGCGCAGGTATCTTAAGTATGACTGTAACGGAATTCCACTTGGTATAGCAAAGGAACAAAACTGGTCTATGCGTGGCTCTTTAGACTAACCTAACCACGCCAGAAATAATTGCATTTGGGTTCACCAAGGTATGAGACAATAAACGGAGATGCGTTAGCGAAGTCCAGAGTCTGTTGAAATTTAAGCCAAGCGCAGACATCCTAAAGATGATTTTTTCTCATGGACTTCGTAACGGAACGGTACAGCAAATTGGTCAAAAAGTGGCTCATTAACCTGTCAATTGGAGGGATAGGAAATTGTATACCCCCAAAATCAGCACCCTTTATAAATGCACGTGCATTAAAGTTTGGTGAAAGGAAACTGGAAGTGTGGGGCGCAAATGTAACGGTATATATAAGTGTGAGTGTCGTTTGTACGACAGCAGGAGTTCTTGGGGAAATTATTGTATTTTAATATAAATAACAAGCAAACAAAAGGCGAGGACAATATGAACATACAAGTCCATGACAGTTGTTGGAAAAGAGTTTCGCGCGGCGACACGGCACACAATTGCATATAAATTCGTAACAAATAATCATAATCGGAACAAACGAAAAACATCAGTCACTCCATTTTTATAGGCACTCACAACAATTCGTTTGCGCATTTAATTCACTCGGTTACCACACGTCAGGCAGGCGACTTACAAATCCTTTCGGTTCCGAGCTGCACGCACTTCTGTTGCAAAATTTTGTACAAATATAATTAGTTGTTGCACACTGTTATATAAAGTTGTGTATTTTTAGTAAAAGTGTGTCTAAAAATAAATGAAAACCGAAGTTACGAAAATTCCAACGCATAAAATTTAAATAAATTTATTGTCAACCGAAACAAGTGACAGTTGCCAGTTAACGAGTTGCATGTCGTCGTTAGACGATTGGAATCATTCACTTTGTGGCAGTCAAAGTGAAATGAACACTTGGAAGGGCAAATTGCTGACGGACGTGCCGTTCGGGCATGTGCTCATAGTGAGCGGGAAAGTGAAACCGAATCCAAATAAGTAAATATTAAAGTTTTTTAAATTACAGTACTTAAAAATAATTTTTTTTTAGAATTTGCTTGGACCTAACCGATAATATAAAGGGTCAAAATGAGAGTGAAACGGTTTATCTGAAGATTGAAGCGAATTTCCGAGAGAATCAAATAATACGGAGCATGTTTATGCCGGGAGAGGGTTGGCAGCAGGAGGAGATATCGAAGAACTGGAAAGCTGATGGACCAAAAAATCCGCTGGTGCCTGGTGAGTAAAACTTAATATAAAATGTATACATAGTACACATGGAAAGGCAAATTGGTGAAAACTAAATTGAAATTTAAGCTTTCTTTGTAATTTTGAACATTTCGATCCGATTTTATTTATTAACTGTTATCATGCCAGGGTTTCATTAAGGTACCTCACATACAATCAGCCATCATATAGAGTAAAGTCAACTGAGTGTTCGAAAATCCTGTACAAGTTATAAGGGGGCTTGCTTAAGTTATCGCTCAATTTTATCTATTTTAAGAACAAATACACACTGTTATGAGTAAAACACGCTCTGTAATTTTCATTGAGATATCTCAAATATTAGGCGATATAAGCGGTTTAAAGCCATCCGGATAATAGGGACGCTATAAAAGTAGACCGATCGAGATAGCAAACGACGCCATATTTTTCCCGCTCTTTTGATATTTCCCTTCAGTAAGGTTTGCCATTTCCTCATGGAGAGATATACGATCTAATAACGCATCGAAATTGTTAAAATTTACTACCCGAATTCGGAGTTAGTGGCCTCAACTTTAAGAGCGCTACGTACAATTTATGGTCGCTAAACAAATGTTTTCGGGCAAGTGACACAAATAAGTGCCTGTAGTGTCTAAAATATTGCTGCTGCTATCGCATTAGTTATTGAAGAAGAACCACATCAATCTCTCACACGTCGTTCTCGAGCGTTAGGCATTTCTGTAACGTCGTTGTGGCGAAATTTTCGAAAAGATCTTAATTGATGGAAGAACCACCAAAATCGTCGTGCGTTCGTGAATTGGGCTGAGCAACAACTTGAAAATTATCTAGATCTTTATCCAAAAATCATCTTCTGCGAGAAGGCTTATTTCTAGCTGAATGGCTTTGCCAATAAGCAAAATATGCGTTATTGGTCAGGCAGAAATCCACACTTACTCCATGAGTCAGCATTGCATTCCGAAAAAATTACGGTTTGTTACGGTTTATGGGTCGTACTTCTACTTTGATGATAAAGATCGGCACGTTAGTGTGAATAGGAATCACTACCGCTCAATGATAACCGAATATTTTTGGCCCTAATTGGGTGATATGGACTTGGACAATATATGGTTACAACTGGACGGAGCCACAAGCCACACAGCGAATGTCACAATCGATTATTGAGGTTGACATGTTGGGTGAACGTGTCATCTCACGAAATGAACCAGTCAATTGACCGCCTAATCATGCGGTTTGACGCCGTTAGTCCAGTCTATGGTCTATGGCATTGAAGAACTTTTTACGAATATCGATCACGAAATTGCAGCGATATCGGCCGATTTATGCTTGGGTCAGCGTCTGGGCTGCTGTAAGCGTGCTCGTGGTGGCCATGCAAAAGAAAACGAGTTCCAACATAATGGCGTCGAATGTATAATTCACAAGAATAAAGAATTTCGCTTTTATTGAAAACCCCGTTATTAGGCATATGGAGGCTCATGGAAGTATTGACCCGATTCAACCCATTCTTGATACACAGATATATTATCATCCGGAAAAGATTCTCTCTGAATATCAATTGTATCTCCCATATATTTACCGATATGTTTTAGTGAAAAGTCAACTGTATAGACTGGGGTCCACATATTCATCGTAGAACGTTGAAATAACAGCTCTCGGTCGAATAAAATCCGAGTTAATGCCCGTAAAGTAATAACGTGGAAATTGAATAAACGGTTGTCGGCATATCATGCTGTAGCATAACCCAAACCTTTCTTTTCAAACCCAGACGAAACAGATCTTATTCTTAACCACAAAATCTAGCTTTCTTGGACTCTGTGTACAATTATTATTTTTTGAGCCAAGTCAATGAATAATTCTTAATTTGCATACGAAGTTTAAATAAATTTGGATTCAATTAAAAATATATATTTGCTTTTAAACAGATTTTATTTCATATATAAACGAATGATTGCCTATCTTTAGGGTCGCAATGACGAAGTCAAAAAAATAAGGCAATAAAGTCCAATCATTAAACAAGCACTGTTTGTAAAGCTGTTCTTAATAAAAAAAAAAGTGTTTTTGAACGGTAAAAAACTTTCTGAAACTGTGAAAATGTCTGCTTGGTCGCATAAAATCTGATTTCATACTCCTCGGTAGTTCCGTTTGTCAGTAAAATAAAATTATGTGTTTACTTAATTTTTTGTTTTATGTATGAATTTACTAGATTTGACTTAGAAATTTCCAATTGTCATCACCAATTTGCCGCAATCGAGTAAAGTATATAAAACGTTGCCTACACTTAGGGTGCGAGTGCACCAAATCAGTAGAGCAGACACGACTTCATAACATTTGCTTAGCAAATGAACAACATTTTGCTTACCATCACTTGCTTACACTTTCAGGTCAAACTTTCACCTTCCGCATAGCTGTGCTACAAAAATGTTTCGAAATCTACATAAACGACAATCTCTACGGCGCATTTGAATTTGTCAAATTTCCCAAACCAATAAATTTCCTAATGGTTTATGGTGATTTTGAGAAAATCACACAATTCCACCAGCGTATGCTGTTTCCACTTGTGTTTCCTAGAAGTTTGATTTGTGCGGAAAAAATTGCTTTCCAGAGTGATGTGCCGAAGAAATACGAAGTTGGTAAGCTAAGAAAATCATTAAATGGGCTTGAAATAAAAAAATTGTCAATACTATAAAGAAAATATAATTTTGTATAATACCAGGTACCGTTGTTGCAATGGAGTGCATTGCTAAAGGCCCATCGAACACAGCGTTCTCCATATGTTTCCAATGTAACGACACTGGACGCGTGGTGCTGAAGTTTCATGTCAACTTTGAGACCACTACAGTGTCGCGCACTTATGAACGTTCCGATAATAGGTAAAACTAAAAGTTGTGTGTGTTAATTTTATAATAGTTAAATCCAAAATATATACAACATTCTTAAAATCTTTTTTATTCCGAAATTTTTTATCAACGAAATTTTTCATCTCACCAATATACAACAGCTTTTCTTCCGATGATGAGGAAACCGACGGCGAATTTCCCTTTCAGCGCGGCAAACTCTTCAAGATCGCCTTCGGTATCGGCGACAAGGCTTTTATCATAGCTGTCAATGGCCAATATTTTACCTACTACAATTATCCGGTGCGCACATTTGCCATCTCCACCTTAAAGTGTTTCACCAATAAAGTTGGTGATTTTGCGGTGAAAAATCTGGAATATCATTGCGATTCACCGTTATTGGCGCGTGTCGAGAAATTGTCGTTGATTTAATGGAAATATTTGCTCATAAAAGCAACAGTGTTGCAATGAAGGATCAAACGGCACAAGAAGTATTACTGGAATGTAGACACTAGATTATTTGACTCACCAAAAAGTTGTAGAAGCTATGCCATTATCTTAGTGGATTTGAAATAAAGACACTATTAATTATGTGTTTCATTTTGTGTGTGTTTTCTAGCAATATCTATGTTTTAGCAATTTGTATGAATTAAAGGCGTTTTTAACGTTACAAGCTGTTTACTACCGACCATAATTGATAGAGCTAAGATTTTGAATCGACAACGTCATCATGAAACGAACTGTCATACTTTTACAGTAATTGTAAATACGACGTCGGCGGATCCAACAGATAAACAATTCTTGGAATAAACGACTCCGTGACCCTCTTTTTCACTCTTTGGCTTCATAAATCTTTCGCAGAACCTTTCCCTCAAAAACACGTAATGCCGACTCATCAAATGTTGTCATCATTCATGTTTCTACACCTTAAATCTACACGTGGATGACGAGTGACTTGTAGTATTTGATCTTTGCTCGTCGAGAGAGGAGTTTACTTCTTACTTGCCTACTCAGTCCGAAGTACACCCTGTTGGCAAAAGATATCTGGAAAAGATAGCTGGATTTCAAAGCTGTCAACATTGACGCATTACTGCGGAATGATTGGTTTTCCGCTGATGATGTGAGAGGGAGAAGCTTTTAGATGATAGGGTCTAGGTGGCAAGTCGAGTGACTTACGAGTACATTCAGGACGTTAGGTTTGTTGAGGGTTACCCAGACATTAGATTCTAACTCAGTCGGACATAAAGGATCTGAGTCGTATTTCGGTTAGCTCGACTGATACACGTTTAGATGTTAGCGATGTGATCTTCACTAGTCGGAATGCCGAACACTTAGGGTCGTTTGCGTGCGAATTGTTTAGGCGGCGAAGGCCTTTAACTGGGTATTGGGGTGAGCTTCTAGTGTGAATGGTTTGTGCGTGTAAAGCGTATGGGGTTCAACCCCTGCTTACCAGTCCAGAGCAGTATACAAGCTAGTAGTGGTTTCGGCTGCAAGGTCTAACCGGAGACATAATTCTGGTACCACGGGGAGCAAAAATCCTTGGAGTTCGCTCAAACCTGCGCATGCGGACTGGCTTCTAGGGGAGTACCGTGGTGATTATGGTTTAAACCCGAATTCACGAAGAACATACACTTTGTCAGTTGAATGTGGAGTGGGATTGCATTTGGGTGCTGGATCCAAAGTACGGCAGAGCTTTTAAATGAGCATCGAAACCTACCAAGGTAGTTAGTGTGTTTATTTTCACACGGCTAATTGTTCGCACTGATCAATGCATGGATTTAATCCGTTATGCTTTTGGGCGCTGTGGGGTAAGGCTGTCCTCAGCAGGTACCCACTTTAAACTCGCCGGACGTTGTCAATAGTGACATGGAAATTTATATGTGATGTTGAAGCTGATTGTTCCACGGCAGTTGGCGCAGATTGCGGGGTCTCCCTTTTTCTGGATTGGGCAGAGCACATTCAAATTTCTTTATATTTTATATTCTACTAAGAAGTTGATGCATGCGCCTTATCAGCTCTTCGCCGCCATATTTGAGTAGCTCGACCGGCAATTTTTGATCCCCTCGACTAATTGCTATTCGGACTTCTTCATGGTCGGGCAATGAAACGTACGCTTCATCGTCACGATCGTTTGGAGTATCGAGTTCACTATCTGCTGTTGTCATTCAGCTGGGTGGAGAAGCGTTCGCTCCATCAATTCAATATGCTTTGGGCGAGATAATGTAAATCATAAAATTTCAACGCCTTCTTTTAGTATGTATTTACATATTTAATTAAAAAAAAACGTCATTTTATTATTTCTTTTATATTTTTATTCCTTTTATCAAGTTCTTTTTTGGCATAATAACTTAAATATTTCTACCACCATACATAAATATTATAGTTAATATTAAATATCATGCATTTACTGCTGCTCATGCAACTATGTATGTTTGTATGTATGTATGTATAATTGTAACTAAAATGTTGCCATTGGGTATGTTCCCTGTATACCAAAGGTCCACTATTAATTATGCATTTATGTATGTACTTGTTGTTATGTATAAATAATTGATATTCATGACCGCTGCTGTCACGTGATAAACGCTAATTTCGTTAAAACGTCGCTATTGCATAACTTGCAAATATTTTTTATTTTTTACTTTATTTACTTTTTAATTTGCATATTTTTTTTAGGTATGAAAACTAGCCATAATTTTTTAAGTGTTTCAAATATGTATTTTAATATTTTCTTTTTATTTTAATTTAATTTTATTTTTTAATTTGCTTATACATAACGGTCCCTTGAAATATGTCACATATGACTAATAATTTTGTTTGTTGTAAATTTTTGTTGTGTTTAGACGTATTTAAATATTTGTGTGTGTGTGTGTGTGTGGAAGAATTTTTTTTGTTGTGTGTTGTGTGTATGCATATGTACTTTTATTTTATTTTATTTTTTTGGGGATTTTTTAATATTTATGTATGCATGTATATTTCATAA